TTCATCGAATATTAGTGGAGTCCAGTAGATCGACCTGGAACGAACATGCAATACCAATTTTAGATTCATCATCCATAAACTCTGCAATATTCTCAAAAATATACCTAATCTGTACTTTAATATAGAGAATGTGGGACAAATGTATATAATTGTACCAAAGTTGTTATTCATTATGTTTTGATTATTTCTACACTATTCCGGGAAAGCTAGTGGATTCATTATGGATTAATAGAATAAATAAATTACTAGTTTAATTTTACAAATTATAGAGAACGATTTATTTAAAATTATCTAATACGTCAAATAATTTCAATTGTAAATTTAGTAAGCTATAAAAATGGCAGGAAAAAGTTCCAGTTGACACGTCTGCGTCAAGTTAATGCAGCTAATTATATTGTTATTCAATTTTAATGATCAATAAAGTTTGGTTTTGGCCGAGCAGAAGGTTTATGGATCGTTATATGATTACTACCAAAATTTCTACTATTCTCAAATTAGCAATATTATTTTCAAAGTTTTGTCTTTGTGAAAATACGCTATATATATATATATATATATATGTATGTATAATTATAAACTTTACAATGCATAAAAATGACTGTATATCGAATCTAATATTGAAATTCTAATAAAAGTTGAAATTTTTATTTATTTATAAAAGAAAAACTTAGCATTGCATTTTGCTTATATTCTTACTATCTTTACTACTATTAAAAAAAAAAAAAAAAAAAAAGATTATTTTATGCATATTTTTTATTTACGTATGAATAATAAAAAATTTTGAGCAATTTGTTCATCCGCATTCTCTGATACGTATATACGAAAATTAGAATTTTTATAAAATAATTAATAAATATACTTGAAATGAGTATAAATGACTAAATTCAAATTGAAGAGTTGAAAATGTAAGACAAATTTTTAAATATAGAATCGATAATCGCTGGTCTGATACAAGCTTTTTATACTGTTGAAACAAGTATCTTTGAAGACTTTTTAGACAGCTAAATTCAGCCTTTTTGTCTCTATTGTAGCACCATGCTTACTGTTATTTTGTAAATTAATATGCGCGAAAATGTAAATTATCAAATTTCGATATTTGACAGATAATAAAAAATAAATTCTTTATAATATCATTAACTGCGTTAATTACAAAAAGTCATCAATACGTCAAAACAGCTCTGATCTTAGATTATTTCAGAATTGGAACTTGGAGCTATAAAAGAGGAGTAATTTAATAAGTTAGTTCAAAGAAATTTTTCTAAATTGAAAGACTAATTGTAATTAGAAATAAAATTTTATATATTGAATAAAATTTCAACTAAAACAATTCAATAATGTTCTATTTTGTACACATTACAATTGTAATAATGATTAATCTATACATTTTCATTACTAAAAGTATCAATCGTAGACAATACTTACTCAAATAAAACTTTACTTATTTTCAAACATTCGACCTGCGAAGTAGGATAATTTATCGTTTAAAAATGTATTCATGATTTGTTTTGTACAACTGCCAAAAAAAAACAACCTATAATGTTTATAGATATAATAATAGCAAATTTCAGGTTCTAGGAATTTGTAAATAAACTACTGTGCTTACAGCTACGTAGGTTAAGATTCTTAATGTTCTTATATACATTAAAATTTAATTAATAATTATTCAAATTTCGAGATATTTTCTTCTTCTTAATTGATCTTCTTAATTGAAACAAAAAAGTATAATTCTTCTTTGTAAAAATGTCATCCTTTTAATTGATATATATATATATATATATATATATAATTCTTTTCTAAATCAAACCACATAGAAACTTCTATATTTTAATCTTATTTTTAGTAATCTGTATATTGAGAAATAAGTAAAGTCTTTTAAATCACTTTTGTAATTAATCTCAAGTATTTTATCAAGGTTCTTAAAAAAAAAAAAAGAAAAAAAAAAAAAAAAAAAAAAAATTACATTTCAGATAGTGTAGTAAATAAAAAAAATAAAATGTTATACTATTATTGAATATTATATATATATATATATATATATAGTCATAAAAATGAATATTTTATTATATTACATATGTGACAAATACATATTAGAATTGAATCATTACTTCTGTGGTAATCATAATTTATATATAAAGATTAGTTTAGACTTCGGTATTATTTAATACTGTTAAGGAATTGCTTTCGACGTATTTTTTTAAACCATTAAAAATTATCTCTCGTACATAAAATTTTCGATAAGCATTAAATTAATACAATGATTTAAGTACTCAATATTGACTATTACTATCATTTCAGATCATTTATAATAGATGGCAGAAGTAAACTTCTTTTTTTTTTTTAATGTTCATATATCAAATATGTCATGAATTTGTACAAGACAATTTAAATTTATTCACTGTATTTTATATTTAATTTTCAATTATTTCGATTCAATTTCGTTATTAATACATCATATAAATAAATCTATGACTAAATCTTTAGATATTGCGACTTTTAATTAGGAATTAAAATTATAAGCTATCTTTAAGGCGTTAAATTCTTTTTACTTGATTATCTTCTGCTCTACAATAAGTTGCTATTATTATTATTATATTTCCATTAATGTTAATATGAAATATTATAGATAATATAATGAGTTTACACATAATAAACATATATGACGGAAGTATGAGAAGTAAAATAAAATATTATCATGTTTCAAACAATTATAGTACTTTTTCAAAAAGTAAAATAAATCTATTTACTAGATTAGTAAGTAATATTTTCCTGGGAATCTACGTTTTATAATTTAAATAATCCTTCGATTGTAAAATTATATGTTTTATAATATTCAACATGTACGATTATATTTCGACTTAGTTTTAAAATTAACTACAAATAACTCTTATATATTAAATATACAGTATACACAATAACAATATATCCTTTATGTATTCAACTTATAATATATAGAAATAATATAATCTTACATTGGTTCCTGATAATTATTTAATGACCTGATATATTTTTAATCTTTATTTTTATGTAATTGTGAAACTAGTGATAACAGACGAGCTATTGCACAATCTCTTCATAAACAAAAGATTAATATTTGAATTTCCATTTTGATTAAATACGATGCCCGTACACGTATAGAACAATTTTCCATACAATACGAACAATTATTATTATTGTTATATACGTACGAGTGACTTGTAGTTTATCGTGTAAATATAGTATATAGTACAAATATTTAATGATATATTGACTTATTTATTTTTATTTATTATAAAAGTGCAATTGATAAAGCGCGGGTAAATAACGGAGCATTTGTAAATTGTGCGGAATACGGATCGGAAGTTCAAAAATATCAGTTGTCATATCGGTAATGTGAATTAGAATTAAATATTGTTTGCGAGCTGCTTTAAAGCCTATTGGAACTAGAGAACAGACAGCATTACAAGTGTAGCGAGTAAACACTTGAAAACAAGTGCACGCATGCGCATTATTAGCGAACGCGTAACATCTCGATTCTCAATTTAATCGATAGATCGAATAATCTAACCAAACTAAACTTACCAAATCGAAAATTCCAAATCTCATCACGTGTTTAATAGCACAGATTTCATTTTTTCTTTGCAAAGCATCTGAGAAGCAGAATAATAAAAAGTGGCAAAATGTATGGCATCTAAGAATGCTTTACCCGTATTTTCGTATTTAATTGCCCGACGTTAAAATAATGCTCAATTTTATGTACGTTATGTATTAATAACAACATCCTGTTTCGAATGTCGCATTGATTCGCGAGTTGGACTTTGTATGCCTAATCCCCACGAGCCAATCGAAAATTTTTTTCGTAATAATACTCACAATACAAATCGTACGCGCAAAATAAAACACGCCCACGTTAAAGTCATTCGTCAAAAAACAAAAAGTCATTGAAAGGATAAACCTTCATCGCTATCGTCGTCAGCGCATACCTTGTCTTTCCGCAATCCGCGAAAGACCGAACGTCCGAAGCGGGGACAGCGGCAAAGAGATAGAGTTCGAAAGAATAAGAGTTAGAGATACAATTTGCACTCTCTCTTGTCTTTCTCCTACATTCGCCTCCCTTCTCTGTCGCAGAAGTGCGCGCGCGCGCGCATGTGGATAGCTCGTATGCGTCTGCTCTGCTGATTCTTACTAGCGCGTGAGTTTGTACGATGAAAAGAGTCGTTGAGTGGGAAGGGGGTGGAGAAGAATAAAAAAAGAGACGAAGCTGCGAAGTCGCGAGCACGAGAGAGGGAGAGAGACAGACAAAGAGACAGAGAAGCAGCGATCGAGTGGGAGAGAGAAAGAGAGAAGCAATGAGCGGTGAGCGAGGAGGGGTAGTGAGAGAGGGGGAATGGTAACGGTATAGCTGAGTTCCGAAAGTCGAGACCAGACACACGGCGGCCTTCGCTTCGGTACTGACAAAAGGCAACATTACGCTCTCTTTCAGTTTCGAACGACGACTACATACGACGAGGAAGAAGAGGCTCGTACCCTTGTGCTTCTTCGCATCGTAATTAAGCTGTAGGATTTTTCAAAATTTCGAAAGAGAACGGAAGCAGCCAAACTGTACGAGGTGCCTGCCTTTTGCGCGCGAGTGAAAAGAGAAAACACTACACGCTACGCTCGCCTGCTCTATTCTCTTTCACGAGCGGAGTAGATAGTGCGCGCGAGAAAGACAGACAGACCGACTGACTGACTGACTGAGAGAGCAGCGAGAAAGAGACACACTCACGCGCATAACATACATTCATACATACATACATATGTATATATATACATGCATGCAAACATAAGTGCATACATAACACGCATGCATACCTAAATTTATATACATATGTATACACGCGCTTGCGCGCGCGCGCACAGATATATATATATATATATATATATATAGATATACAGAGAGAACGAGAGAGAGAGAGAGAGAGAGAGAGAGAGAGAGAGAGAGAGAGAGAGAGAGCGAGAGAGCGAGCGAGGAGAGGGAGCGAGCGAGCGAGCTTGAAGAACGGAACGGGAGCTGCTGAACCGAACTCTATTTCTTGCTCAGTGTGTGTTTCTTGCATGCATTCGTAGTGTTAATAGAAGAAACTGATTCATTCTCTCATTGGAAAATTTCGATCTCGTTGTGGTCGATAAGAGGACGGCGACGTGTTCCCCTTGGTTGTGTGCGAGGAACGCGACAAAAAACTGTGGATTGACGGAGTAGTAAGCTACATCGAGAGGAATAAGAAGGACGTCTACTCCGCCAGTGGAAATAGAGAGAGAGAGAGAGAGAGAGAGAGAGAGAGAGAGAGGGAGGAGTGAGTGATGAGTGAGCGAGAAAGAGGAGAGAGGAGAGAGCAGTAATTTTTGCAAGAGATTTCGTCGCGCGCGCGTGTCGTGTGCGGGCCAAGAGCTGCGTAACGGCTAGTGCACCGAGTCCTCCCTAGAATTCCTATCAAGATCTCGTAGTGAAAAGGAGAGTCTACGCCAGCGAGGAATGTCGACTCCCGCGAGAAGGCGGCTAATGCGAGACTTCAAAAGGTGATTTTTCGGTTAAGCTGGCACTTGCGTTGCCAGTTTATAACCTGGTTGCAATTTCTTACGCCCGATGGCTATTCTCCACTATGTAAACGAACGATCGTGAGACTCGTCGATTACGATCTTTCAAATCTATAAACTTCCCGACCAATTCGTCGACATTACGTCTGTCTTTCCACTTGAACTCGCTCTTTTTATGTTTATGTAGTCTACGTAGTCTCAGTGTCCGTGTCCTTGTTTGTACAAGAGAGAAAGCAAAAGAAAGGCAATAAAGGCAAGAGAGAGAGACAGACGACAGAATGTCGACGACAGGGTGACGAGACACACGTCGATGACGTTTGTTTTATTATTAGAAATCAGCAAGGGGGAGAAATGGAAGATTTTTTAAAAAGTATATAACGATAATGTCCTGATTTTGGATGTATGCTTTAATATTGTTGTAGGTTACAAGAAGACCCACCAACTGGAGTTTCGGGTGCACCCACTGACAACAATATTATGATATGGAATGCTGTTATATTTGGGTAAGCAAATTTATATTACGTTGTTTAGATACGTAATTCCATAAAGTCTAAATGCATTGAATTTAATAAGTTGGAAAACAGATGTAAGAAAAGATGGATAAGTTAAATTATAAACATGTAAATTCTAAAATTTTTATCTGATAGACCATATGGTTGTCATGCACATGTGTGTTTCGTGAAAAAATTGCTATATAAATATCTAAAATGATGCATAAAATTTGGGTCGACTAATTCAAAATCCTTATTGTTTATGTGTTTTGTAAAGCTTGAATTATCAAACTTTTATCATTTATAAGCGTGTTATAAATTCAGGAATAGCTTGATAAGTATCTTGACTGCAAATTTAAAGATTATTTCAACAGAATATATAATCGTTGAAAGGTGCATTAGTGGTATAAATCTTAACATTAATTTTAAAAAAAAATCAATAATTCCTTTCTAGACCACATGACACACCCTTCGAAGATGGAACTTTTAAACTTACGATAGAATTCACAGAGGAATATCCTAATAAGCCGCCAACAGTGAGATTTGTTAGTAAGATGTTTCATCCAAATGTTTATGCAGATGGTGGAATATGCTTAGATATTTTACAAAATCGTTGGAGTCCCACGTATGACGTTTCTGCAATCCTAACTTCTATACAGGTGAATTTGAAACTATGTTATAGCTAAAGCATCATCATTATTTGCAAAATTTTACATTTTTTTTTTCTTATTATTTTTTGCTTCTTTTTTTTTTTTGTTTTTTGTTTTTTTTTGTATTTATAAAATTCTCTTAACGACTTAACAGTGGTTGCAATTCATCAAAGTCGGGATATTTTATATTAAAAACATATGTTTTACAATCAGATTACTAAATCTAACACTAATTTTATTGATAAGGTCATCATTAACCAAGTTTTCAATGTATAGTAAATAGAAATTGAGGATAAATATAAACAGTAAATGTATTCAAAGACCGAATATTTAGTTGATTATGTTTGAGCAGCCTTTACTTTATCAAATTACAATTTTGTTTGCTTCACTAAATGTTTGTTCAAAATAATAATTAAACAATGAATGATAAGTTGAAAAGTAACTTGATTCTTACTGTTAGAAAAATTATTTTGAAATAAAAAATATTTAAATTCTAATAGCTTTTATAGCTACTCCTTTTTTTTTTTTTCTTTCTGTTTTTATTATATACTGATTACAAATTCTGACCAAAGTATTTAACATAACTTTACTTTTAAAGTAAAAATTAAAAATAATGTCAGATAACCATAAGTTTGAGCTTGTAAAAATTTGTTTTTCGGTATTAAAGATGAAGAAATTCTTAAATAAATGTGGATTATAATAGAAATACGCATAGTATAGTTATAAATATTTTTGCTCCAAAAGTTTCTTTTTTTTCAAATACAATCAAAAGATATCAAAATAAATGAATTTTTTTTTTTTTTTTTTTTTTTTTATTAACAATTATAAGAGGTGTTGTAACGTACTTGGCTAAGTAATTACTTGTAATATCGTTAGCTTAAATAGCTGCAACGTTAAGTAGTAAATACTTGTGACAAAATTTAAGATTTTTTTTTCAATCTACCTACTGACTGTTCTTTTCAATTATTAAAACAATTTTTCATAAAAATCTTATTAATGTTGAGCTTGTAAATAACAATTTTTGTAAATTAAAAACGAATGTTGTGAATTTCATCTAAGGTATTTGAAAAGATTTGCCAAAGGTTGATAAAATTAAATGTGAACAAAAGATAAAATGCTTAGCTCGTTAGTCTTTGATTTATATTATCATTGTTTCATATAAAATAAAAACATTGACTCGCGCAATGTTTTTAATTCTTAATTTTCTTAAAAATAATTTAAAAAAAAATAAAAACCTGAATTAAAGAATCAAGTGATTAAATAAAAGATGAGAAAAGAAAGAGAGAGAGAGAGAGAGAGAGAGAGATAGAGATAGAGATAGAGATAGAGAGAGAGAGAGAGAGAGAGAAAATAAATAAAATAAAGAAAAAGTAATTTGCAATAGATTTTGTTTGGCTAATTAAATAAAATCTATCATTACGTATATATACGTTGAAAAGTGAGAATTTGAAGAGCCTAATAATGTGCCTTTAATGTCAATGCAATGCTAATCGAGCTTGAAGTGACAATGTAAATTTGAAAGATTGTGATCGTTAGATTGTTGAAGTAAAATTATAAATCGACTTTTGTGTCGTTGCAGTCGCTGTTAAGTGACCCGAACCCAAATTCGCCGGCCAATTCGATGGCGGCACAACTGTACAAAGAGAACCGACGCGAGTACGAGAAACGAGTGAAGGCTTGCGTGGAGCAGAGTTTCGTGGATTAGTCGGAGGCAAGAGCTCGCCGTTGTCGCAGCAGCAACTTAAGGGTACGCTATGCTGACACTTTTACGAAATCGAAGCAAACCTTCGTTAAAAGCTGACGAGCTTAATATGACGCTGCAATTTTCATCTTCTAGTTTAATACGCTTGACCGAAGAATTAAATCAGATAAACATTTAACAATTTAAGAGAGGCAAAAAAATAAATAAATAAACAAGTCAATATTTATTAGGCATTTATTTTTAATAAATATCGATTGTACAGTATATGTAAAAGACGTAATAGCAATAATTACGTGTACATAATGAGTAGAGAGGAGCGCCGAGCCAATAAGATAACGTTCGTTCGTAAAAAGCTCGCTCGCTATTTGTGTACGAGGCGGCTTTTACATAAGCCGATCGCTAATCTTATTTCTCGCAAAATTGTGAAACTAAACGTTACTTTTGTGTCGTACATTTGCAGTTTCAAGTAAGCTTGCGTCCGTCAGTTGACGTTGAAAAAGTGTGCCTAACATCCGGTCTTTCTTGGCTAACAAAATCATAAATTATAGTCACACACTGACAGAAGATTCGCAGTGCTTTTAATGTTATTAAATTTTTGTCCGGGCTGTGAACTAAAAGGTTGCTTATAAATTCAGGGGATTGTGCATAGCTATGAGATAAATAAACATGAAATTTCGTTTTTAGTTTTGTCAGTATACCGTATCCTTAACGGCAGCCGACTACAGCTACAACGTACAGCAACAGTCGCTACGAGGCGCGTCGAAGACGAGAAGAGAGATAACGTGCCACCTCGTGAATTGGAGCTAATGCCTTTGTGCTTTAGTTTTTTAAGCATGTCAACTCCCTAAGTCTCTGATTCGATCACAAACATTGTACTACTCTCTTTTACACACCGAGCACACACAAACACAACAACACCACCACGACCCACCACCACCACAATCACAACCACGACCCACCACCACCACCACCACACTCGTAGGGTAGTCCCTGTTTATAGTTAATTAAGAACATTTTCTTGCACTCACTCGTTGTTTGGCAATTATTCGTGCGTTAATGGTGCGCATAAGGCAGTGTATAAGTTACTTTCCGACTGTTTTCATATAACAAAATTTATTTTAATGTCTAAATAAATTGTAAAGAAACAAGCACCAGTAGTCCAATAATTTCCAACGCGCAATTCAAATTCTTTCAAATTATAATACGCATTATAAATCTGCTCATTTGAAATTCATGTTCAAATAATTTAAATAGCGAATAAATATCTTTTTACCAGCTTAATCACGAAATTACATCATTTATTTTGATAGAAAATTTCTCACTACAATTGATAAAATGTATTTAATTTGTAATATCTTACTAAAATTCGCCATTCGTTAAAAACATTGATGATATTGGGGGAGGGAGGGCGGGAGGGATAGTAGGGCTCAATTGTATGGTTTATCAGCTAATAATGCAAGGATGTTATGTACGTATTTATTTTGTACATTAATGTTAAAATAGAAAATAGTATAAAAATGAAATGTTGAGAAAAAGGACTACCCTAAAAAAAAAAAAATAATATTAAAAATAAATAATAAAAAAAAAATAATGAAAAAAATACAGATACCTGTGCAACTATATTAGACCGAATTTTTACAATGTTGTATAATAAATTAATATAAAATTGTGTATTTATTTATTCGAATTCTGTGCAAGTCAGCGAAAAGAGAGAGGAAGCAAGGCGGTAATACAGGAGCTTTACAAAAAAAAAAAAAAAAAAAAAAAAAAAAAAAAAAAAAAACAAATAAAAAAACAAAAAAAAAACAAAACAAAACTAATCTAGTGCATATGCTTATAATAATTGAAGTATTAGGAATTATGAATTGAATAAACTGAAAAGTTAGTACTAAGTAGCTTTTCTGCTTTCGCACTCTGAGAGAGTGAAGAAGCAACCCTTCCCCATTGTGTTACTGTAAAAAGGAGCGCAAAACTGTACTTTTGGTCGGAATTGTCATTTAATTTTTATTATTATTATTATCATTATTATTACTATTACTATTATCATTATTATTATTATAGTACTTGCATAGTACAGAAAAAAATCATTTACTTATACATATGAAAAGTATATATACACAAACATACAATAAAATGCATAATTTCAAATTTTATTTGATGTTTACTGTTTCCTACCTTCAATAATTATCCGATAATTATATATACTTCTTTTAAATATTTATATGTTCCAGTCTCTTTTAGATGAGCCAAATCCAAATTCTCCAGCAAATTCATTAGCCGCACAATTATATCAAGAGAATAAACGTGAGTATGAGAAAAGGGTGGCAACAGTCGTTGAACAATCTTGGTTGAATTTTCAAGAAAGTGGTACAATCGAAGATCCACGCTGACACAATAAATACAAGTAAAGTATAAAATATTTTTATTTATTTTATAAAAGGAAATATATATAAAGAATAGATTGTTCGAACCTTCACTTTTGGAAAATGTTGTAAATTATTAATGCTATTTTATAATATTAAACAATTGTTTGCGAAGTGTATGTATGTATAAAAAATACTTTAATGTTATAAATTAAAGATGAATTAAAGTTTTTATTGTAAATAAAATGTGTCAAATATAATTTGAACATTTGTAACAATCATTGCGTCTTTTAGTTAAGTAATTTATACAGTCTAGTAAATAAGAGAGTGATTAAAACTTATATTACTTTATAAAGTAATAACTTATGTATGAAAATATAAGCATTGATAATAAATAATGAAAGAGTTTTATATACAAAATAATTACTTTACAATAGGGTAGTACAATAATAAAAATTATCGATAATTAGCATAATTAAAAAATTAATTTTATTAATAATTTTTTTTCAATTATAGTTTCTATTTTGCAGGTACCATTCAAGTTGAATACCTCAATTGATGCTGATTCGTACTACATTTCTCAATATTATCCTTGATGGATGAATGTGGAACATAATAAATGTCCACAAAACTTTGCCATTCATCATAGATTTTTGAGAGCAAAATGATTGTTGATCAAACAATGCAAATATTGCAGATGCATGTGTGAAAGTGTATGTATGATATAAGAAATTGTAATTCCTTATTTGTTTAAAAATTAGATATGAAATGAGTTTCTTTGCACCAATATGTATTTATTGTACCAATCACAAGAAAAAAAAAAACAAAAAAAAAAGATATTGTCATTGTTCATTACTGTAAGTTCTTTTTTTAAACATCAATTTAAAAACTTAGCATTATCTGTGTAATTTTACTTAATACTTAATCGTGCAATTTTTAATTTCACATTTATTTAATGCTACGACTTTTCTTCCTTCTCTTTATTATAAAGAGCCAATTCTTTAAGGAATTGAGCTTTGGGCTTCATAATATTTGGTCGGTCTCCACGACATTTTGGACAGAACCACTTGCCTTTTGGCTTTGTACTTAGAGACACACATGAAAAGTGGAACCACTCGATTGGACACAAGTCATTATCGCACAGAATCATTTCTCCATAAGAAATTTGATCACAGAGACAATATGTAGGTTCGTCGGGATCTATTGCAAGATCATCTTCGGGCGGTGGTGGTGTATCTTCGCGATGTTGATTTTGTTGATTGCCCTGCCTTGATTTACGTTTTTTCTTTTTACCAGTATTGGTCGTATTTGTTCTCTTTTGATTGCCATTCGAAGAACTTGGAATATTTGATGATCGATTTTCAGACATCACGATCATGTCCATTGCCTGGGCAGACTCTACCAGTGTTTCTGTTCTAGTTCGCCTCGCTCGTTTAGTTGGCCTATCATTATTATTGGTGTTACTACCAGAATTGGTATTAACATTAGAATTAGTATCTCTAGCTGGTTCGCTCGTTTCTTGCTCCTTTCCAAAATCTACAATTATAAAAAAAAATTTATTAAACAACCGACACGCACAGTTACCATAACGTAATTCTATTGTTCGTGAATTTATGCAAATTAATTTGTATTAAATAGAAATATTTATACCAAGATTTCTAAAATCCATGTCTAACTGCCTTGTTTTATTCTCAATGAGATCTTGTACAACTTGTACTATTTGTAATTTCTCATCTCCAATTTCTTGCGCAGCTATAAGGGCTTGTTGAATACGCAATAAAGCACGAGTTTTTGTAGAGCTATTAGTTTCTCCTTTAGACAGTACCTCTTGATGTTGATCAACTTCTCGAAGATAAGCTATGCATTATGAATTAAAATAATATTATAAATTTCAACTTATTGTTGATAATTTTAATAAAAATTACAATTTATCAGTCCACTGTAAATTACTTTTTTTCTTTTGTTTTTATTACCATGTCGTAATTAATAAATAGTAGTTCGATAATATGAAAAATAATAAATTAGTACGTAAGTGATGTTTCCCATGCTGTAACGACGATCTTGTACTGGTTTAATAATAATAAAGCAACAATCATTGATTTACTCAATGAAATACAAACTAGAGAAGCAAGTTTTTATTAACAGAAAATTAATATGATTCTTAAAGAAGTAACTGTTGAAAATATGAATATATTTGGCGCATAGATTTTTTTTTAACAGTCTCATGTACAATGGACACCATGAAAAATTACTCACTGCAAAATGAAATTAAATCTAAAAATATATACTTTTTTGTAAACAATCAGCATTAATTTAAGTAATCATAGATTTACCAATAATGCGTACATTGGATTGTAAGGTACGTTTTTTCTTTCTCGAGTTCTTTGAAAAAAAGCTTTGCCAATGGAATTCGTATTTTTAATATTGAGATCGGTGCTATCTAATATCGAAGATATTGCATCTCGTGTCTGCTGTTTAGCGTCGAGTGGTTTAGTAAAAAAATGGCACGTTGAACAATGTATTAAAACTACAGTTTTCATCACCTACTTTCATGAATGAAGTTTTTATCTCCGAATGGTACTCGACCCATGGAGCCGTTCGACATAACTTAGGCAGTCAAAAATACAGCACGAATAGGAAATAATCAAAGGCAAAATTAATAATTTATTCTTACTTTGGCAAGTGGCGTCGAGCTCGCGTAGGCGAGACAAATGCCTCTGAAGGTCGTTGGGAAGATTCTCAACGCAATCAAGATAATTTTCGATGTATGTAGCTGAATAAAGGGCCTCGACCACCGCCTGATTCAGCATTGCGAATTTTAATTGACAGTCGAACTTTTATACAAACATCTGTCTCACTGTTAATTTAGCATACTTATCACCACACCGGAAAAACAACTGCACTTCACGTATAATGACGAATATAGAACATTTCTCGTTCAACCATGTTGATTTTACTGGACCTTTTACAATGGAACGGGATTTTCGGCTTTCGCATTAGCAAAACCGTCAAATCCTATGTCTCCCCCTCATTAGCGTATAAATCTAGTCTCCTACTCGTTTATCACGCAGTGCAATGATATATATATATATATATATATATATATATATATATATATATATATGTATATGTATGTATGTACGGTCGTATAGAGGAGCAAGTGGCGCCGTCGTCCATAGTTCGAGTGCGCGAGAAAGTAAAGTGCCGCCTTATTTTAAATAGGTTGCGGCTGTTAAGTTTTCATGAAAATTGCTCATCCATCATTTAATCCATGAATACTAATTTCACTTATTACGTTAACACTTGATATTTCATGTCGTTGTTCGAAGTTTCAAGCGATGCGTAGACTATACTAATCTTTATGCAACTACTTCATCCAAACGGTCCGTTTGCACATTTAATATTTATCAACAAGACATTATTCGCCATCTTTAATTCCTACAATCATCTACATAGTAATAAAGATATATAAATTTCATTGGGTTCAATTGTTAAAATTATAAAAATTGAATAAGAATATTTATTGGCTGTAAAAAATAATTAAGTTTAGTATTTCGTATTTACAATTCTACAAGTACATAAAAAATAATTATATTTATTAAAATTTTATGTATTTATAATTTATAATGTTCGATATGTCCATATTCGGCCACACACACACACACACACACACACACACACACACACACACACACACACACACTAAAAACACACTAAAAACACACACAAAATGCAATTATTTATTAAATCATAATAAATGTCTGCACAAGTTTCTTTTATATGCATACTATACGTACCGTTTTAATAAGCATTCAAGACAAAAATTAAACTTACTTATATTGTATTAATATCCTCATTAATACAGCATACCAAATAACTTTAATGATAAATTAATAAATTTTTTAAATAGATATAAACCAAATAGACTTCAAATAACAAATACATCATAAATACAATAGACTAAATTTTGATGTCCAAATATTAAAATTTTATAAATTTACATATACAAAATATAAATTTACAAAATCTAATAATGAACGCATGAAATAATAGCACAAAAAATAATTAATAACAAGAAAATTAATTATCGGAGACATATTAATAAATCCAATAAACTATTAATAGAACCGAAGAATATTTATATAGGAATTAATATACACTGGTCATCAGAAAGTGTAAGTAAATGGGTAAATTGGAATAAATTCTACAAATAAATTTATTATCTGATACGATAAATGACATGCGTCTTAAGTGAAATTTCATGTCTTAGAGATAAAAAAATCTTTGCGAATATTATTTAAAAAAAATACTAACAAAAGAATTATTATAAAAAAAAGACTTGCTTAAACTACTGTTTAGCAGTAGTTTGATAATAACCAAATACAAAACTAAGACGAAAAAACTCTAAATTTCTTTAAAATTATTTATTTTAGTATATATCATGTTCAGTTTATTTTTAATCACATATTTATAACATCATATTTATAATATATAACGCAATCAATACCGTACTATAATTTATTAAATAATTGCGTTGCCAAGATAGATTTTCATTCAAAATTTCTATTAAATATAAAATGAGTTTTACTTGTATGGATATAGATAAGTTTTATAAAATTATTATAGATAAATTTTACATACTTAAATAACAACAGTTTATTTTACATATTTTAATGAAATAAGATGCATAGGACGGCAGATAATTAAATTAAATTAAAATAAAAATTAGTTGTATTAATCTTACATTGTAAAATGTAATTTTCTTAAATATTAAAAATTTTATTGCTTAATCACGCACTCTTACCCACGCACACGCACGCGCGCGCACATTTTGTTTATTATTATCTTAAATTTAAATAAGAGCAACTTTAAAGATGCTTTCTGATGTACATTTTGTTTTACAATATACTTATTTAAATGTTATTAATGAAAATCTAACATATACTATTTATATAAAATGAAAATGAGTCTCTTTGAAAATATCAAGCAAATATAAATATTAAATATAGTTATACAATATTGATAATAGATATAATTTTGTCAAATGTTTTTCAAAGCGATTAAAAAATTTGTAGTTGTCAAAATAATTATTTAAATGCTACTACTATTGTTTTATTCGTATATAAAAAATGTATCAAATAAAATATATTCAAGTTTATTTTTATTTTCTAGTAGGATAATCAAATTAAATAATTTTTTTTTTTATATTATTTTTTAATACTGTTACCTATTCAGAATTTAAAGAATTGATTTGATTAATTTAATTAATCTGAGAAGTATTGAAGCAATTATTATTATTGCTATTATAAATACATTTATTATTTTATTCATTAAGTTATTAAATTATTAATTTTATATGAAAAAATAGAGCCACAAAAAGAAAAATAATTTCAATCATATGTTAAACAAAAATTAACCATTAATCGCCTCTAAAATTATATTATATCAAAGTACTTCAAATTTTTTTACAAAAATTATAACTAATACACGGTGTCATTAATTGGTGCTATATTTTATCTTATTAAGAGTGAATAAATCTGAAATTCGAGATAATGTTTAATACAAAATTAAACCATACTTAAAAATTAAAGCCACTATAGATTCTTAATTACATGGATGCATGTGGTAAAATTTTAGTTTCCATAAGCAACTTTACAGAACACAAGTGCTAATTTAAAAATAAATATTTGATCTCGTTCCATAGATAGTAAAGAAAACGTAATTACAATTCACCCATCAATTATATTTGTAAGCTTATATCAACATAACACAGCGCATCTTGTAACAAGATATATAAATACACACGCGCGCGCACACACACAGGCACACAGACACACACACATTTATACATATATGTGTGTAGGCTCAATACAACTTTTAATATTATTAATAATTTATAATATGTATTTAATATTTTTATTAACTACTTTATAAAAAGACTAAAGTGTATAAATTGCTTAATTCTTAAAATTTTATGAAAGTTATTTATATTAATCAAATAAAAAATAAATATATATATATATATATATATATATAATATTAACACATTGGCCAGTAACATAAGTAAAGTAATATAGATATTATTGAATCGGGTGAATTATATTATTAAAACAGTATAATTTCAGTATTAATGGACGGATAAATAGACAAAAAGGCCAAAATTGAAATAATTATTAAGAATTATGAAATTACCTATATTCAAGTGCACGAACAATTAAAGCTGATGTAAATGTCATTTAAAATATTTAAATATTATTTAAAATATTTAAAAGAAAGTTTTTAATTAATTTGTCAAATTTTATTATTTATCGCTAATGCATTTAAAATTGTATATATTTTTATGTTCAATAGCGTAACAAAATCTATATCATAAAAATATATTTAATAATAATAACAATTTTTCTAAAATTTTGTAAAAAAAATTAAATTCTTGATAAATCGTTACATAAATTTCTTTTTTATTTTATAATCTTCATTCAGTATGAAACTAAGTTTTGTATTACATTTAAAAATATTGAAACGCCCCTTGAGAAAAACCAACTCCATCAACAATTATTTAGACAAATGAGCGTGGAAGATGATATTCTATGATTCTAATTTAGCATAAAATTATCTATTAAATGCGAATTCATTATCGAAACATTATTATTTTAGAAAAATACTGAAATTTAATTTCTAAATTATTGTATATTTTTAATAATGAAAAATATTTTTGGAAAGAAATTCAAGAATTTTTGTTTTATATTTTCATTAAATATATATCATATGATTTTTTCTTATTCTTGGTTTTTATTTTATAGAACAATGTCTTTAACATTACAAAATTTCTTAAATCAAATGATCCGATAAAATAAATAAATAAATTATATATACACAATATAATATAGCGCTATATTAGTTTTGTAGATATTTACGATTTAAAATAGTCTAAAATAATCAATTTACCAATAATTATTTATTCGTTACTGTTATTGTAAGTCTAGTTGCAATACTATTAACCGTATCGTAAAAGTAATATTTTAAAGATTTATTATAAAATAGTCTGTACAATAAATACTTTTATATTATATTAAAGATTAAAATTTACGAATTCGTATTAGAGTAAAGTGAAGTTAATTGGTCTATGTAACTTTATGTTTATGCGTAAATGTTACTTTTTTTGATATATTAGTACTACAAACTAAATGAGTTTTATTTAATTAATAATATAGCTCGATGCATCCTTCATCCGCAACCGGGAGGAAATTCAAGGTCACTAGTAGCGTACGAGCTTAAAAGAGTATGTAAGAGAGACAGAGAGAGAGAGAGAGAGAGAGAGAGAGAGAGAATTAGATAAATTAATGCATAGTCGAAAGATGGGAAATAAATAACACGTGAGGGTTGGAAGTATCTAAGTCAAGTAATTATTGCTCGATTGTAATAAAACGAAAGAGCGAGAAGGAAAGAGAGAATGAGCGAAAGGATGAGGGAGAGGGAGAATCGACTCTGCCGCATAGCAGCCACTACCGCGTGCGCCAACAAACATGAGAGGGTGGTGGTGGCGATAGCGGAGGCCGTGGATGAGAAGGTGGAGGAGGAGGAGGAGGAGGAGGAGGACCGAAGCCGCGGTGGTTGTTGATAGGTCGCGCGTTTCACTTGCTCGCGGAAAAGCGCGGAAATCAGAGTTGTTCGCGATCTCGCAGGGTGCGCATCGCCTAAAGATCGATCGATCTCGCGCTTTAGGGAAGAGTGCAGTCCATCCGAGGCTGATAGGCAGTGGGAGGGGACGATGGAGCCGAGAGGAAGCATCGCGCTGGTCTAAGTCGAGCGCGTTAGTCGAACTAAGGCTTCCATCGGAAGGAGTCGGTACTAGCGGTGAGACACGACACATGAGCCGGTGATATTACCGAGTTGTGACCTGCACGAGTTCGCAATTGACGTGACCGGGGACTGACCAGGACAATGCGCCTCCGGCAACTCCACGTCGCCACGACGATCCTCCTCGCCCTCGCGACCATCATCCGCCACGGTAGGTCTTGGCTTATTGTCCGCGTGCTGCACTGACTCGTTCGAATTCTTACCGCCACTCCTGGGGCCAGCCTGGACTTACTATTCTTTTAATTATTGACATTTTTATGGGGCTTTTATGGAAGCGCGCGCTTAATTGACGATTCAAGCAGCTCGTGAAATTGGTAAAAATGAGGATGGAGGATTGTATGCTCGACGATGAGCACTATGTTGAGTAATAAATTGACACCGTTTCTTTAAATCCCGATGCGTATAATCTAAATCATCAAATCGTCACATCTAATGAAAATGGATGTAATGAAAATGTATTTTAAATTTACGTGCTGTTTCAATGGCAAATTTCGTTATTTACAGATACGTTGTGATTGACATGAATTTTAAAGCAAAATTTTTCCCCAAACCCGTAGACAATAAATGGACTACGTTTAACAATTTTAAAAACATCGGCGGCACTTTTCACTTACTTTACTCGAGCATCGCATCAAGGAATTCTAATTTTATCCATGAAAAATATTTCAAAGCAATCCCCCTATTTTAAATACAAAAATATTTTCTATATTATTCTTTCAAAAATTTACTTTTTGGATAGAGAATGACATTCTTTGAATGATGCATGCTTTAACCCCTCACAAGAATAACAGAAGCTTTTTAAATGTTTTAAATAAAACGTAAAGTCAGACTATAGAATAGGCATGGTTCGAATATATATATATATATATATACGTGTGTGTATATACAAATACACTGTCCACACTACTTAACGGCTTCCAATGACAAGGTTAAATTTATCGCCACACGTTTTACAACTTTATGTCATTCATACTTGTAGAGTTTGAATTTAATCTGTAAATGTGATATACCCATCGTCCGTGAATATATATTTTATAAAATACTCGTGCTTTTATGTAAAATGAATTTTTCGAGCATTAGTCAAATTTGTTATAATTATATATATATATATATATATATATAATTTAATGGTTGAATCGTGCATAGAAAAAATAATAAATATTATCATTATTTTATTAAAAACTTTAACTACATTTTATGTAAGTGAATCATTTTATTCTGTTGTAGATAGATATATAAGTACATCGTATTATTCGCATGTTTGCTTCTAAATAAACCAATTTTACAATTTAATTGACGTAAAAATAACAGTCTCAATTATTAGAAAATAAAATGTTCTAGACTAAAAGATCAATTCTTAAAATAGTTTTAAAGTGTAAGTTAAATTATTCGAATGATCATTTTAATCTTTATTAAAAAATTGAAATTTATTGCGTACTTCGTTGTTAAATCTACATCTTAATATAATAAATAAGAAGATTATATAAATATAAATTTAAAAATTTAAAGAATAAATAAATAAATTCTTTATCAGTAAATAAATCCTTACAAAATGATACATAAAAAATAAGTATTGAAAAATAATATATCACATGTTATATTCATTCTTTTCGTTCTTCATTGTCGTCGTGACATTTTGAATTTTTATCTATGATGTCGTTAATAATTCAATAATAATAATAAATACGTATCTTTCAAATGTTAAAAAAAAGTATATAAACTTTTTTTTACAGTGCCTGATTGAATAGGCAGAAAAAAAAATCGAAAATTAAAAATAATGTTTTCCTTTATTAAACAATCCAATTTATATTATTAGAATTCAATAAAGTATATTTTTAGTAGAGTAGTTTTTCATAAGAAATTATTTTCAAGCGAAGCGTGTATATAAATTAGTATGACAATCGAATGAAACAATTGTGTTTGATACCACAATTGCACTTATTTAAACACACTCACACTCTCATGATTATGTCTGCGGTGATTTATATATAGGCGATTCGAACATACCCATTTCATTTCTTAGATTCTTAATTAATTAATTGATAAACCTTTTTTTAGTTTACGTAATTTTCTAAGAGATTTCTAATAATAAGTAATGACATATATATATACATATGGGTGCATATAATTTTTTTTTTTTTTTTTTTTACGTATATATCAATGTTCTTTGTATTATATATTATTTTTAATCGATTTTAATATATAATACAGACATTATTTTAAAATGAGAAGTTTGCCGGTATTTCTTTTTAAAATTAATACTCCTCGTCATTTCCTAGGAAATAAATTAAGCATTTTATTTTAATGTATGTTCTTCTTCATCTTTATCTTACTACTGGTATTATGACACAGACTTATTAATTGAAAATTCAATATTTTTGAAAATATACAAATATAAATAATGATAATATTTTTGCTATGTTGCTTATGATTTTTCATAAAAATTTTATTTAATAATTTATATGTCTAACGTTCACAATTATTTATAATTTTATTAATTCGATACAAATAGACAATCTTCATAAAATTGAAAAAAAAATCCAATTATATACTTATTTGTAATGAAAATTAAATATTTAATTTAATTATAGTCAAATGTTTACAACATCCAGGATTTTGGTTCTCAAGAGAAATGTATGAACTATATACAATTTTTTGCAGTAATACATTCTGTTAATTAAAAAAAAAAAAAAAAAAGAAACATAAGAGAAAGTGAAATAGTTGACTAAAAGTTATTTTTATTTTTTTGCATAAATAAAGGTAGGTGCAACTAAAGTGAATACAATAAGAATCTTGTCCTTACTCAGCCTTCATTTATCTTTTGAACTTGTTTCGCTAATGATAGAAAAACATGAATATTTTAATGAAAAGTTTTAAATTTTAATCAAAAAATTAAATCTTGCTGTTTTTTTTTTTTTTTTTTTTTTTTTTTTTTTTTTTTGTAATGTCTGCTAAAAATAATTATTTCTCTATTCGTTTTTAGAATGATCTGTTAATTGTTCTCAATATAAACTGTATTTAAAGTCAAACTTTCCAACTAGAATACATTTGATAATAACGTACATCGAAATGTAATTATTGAAGTTCTGTCGTATGTAACACTTTGGATCCTCTACATAAATTTATATCTTAAATCTTAGTAAATATTTATAAATTTATAAAATTTTTATTTATATTAATAATGGCAAAGCTAGATAGTAGAAATAGTACAAGTTGATAAATTTTCTCTTAAAATATTATAAAAAATTCTATCAGAAATAAAATATTTTAGGAAATTTGAAGAAACATTTATAACATATTATTCTAGACTTGAAGATTATATAATTTTCTATATGTAATCTATAAGTCAATACAGTTACTGACTTTCCCAATTTCACAATGCAAATCGCATAAAATCTACAAGAATTGATATGAAGTGAAATAATTTTCAAGGACATACTTGTTTTCAACGTCACAGTTAACTAAATACTTTATAATATTTTAGAACAGATAATGTCTTTTATTTACTAGTTATATTAATAATATTTGTGCATTATATCGACGCTTTAGAAAACAACTTTAAATTTAATGAGAGTTCGTAAGTATTAAAAACATTAATTTTATCCTATAATTTACGTAAAACATATTATTCATAAGAGTGAAAATGCTTTATACTTGAGCTTTAAAACGCATTAACGACTACTTTATAGACAAATAGAAGTAAAACTACTTATTTGTAACTTAAATTCATACCTTACGAATTTAAAGCACGTAAAATTGACTCTACATGATTTCTTTCGTTTTATTATCTTCCTTTTTATATCTTACATTTCCCGACATTGTAATAAATTGTAATAAATTGTAATAAATTTTAATAAATTTTAATAAATTGTAATAAATTGTATATGTAATATATATCCTCATACGAATAAGAAGTGTTGAATAGTGTTTTCGTGAGAGCGTTTTATACCATAAACAAGATTCACCGGTTTTAACGTGACTGACCATTATTGCACATTGCAAGTAAACAAAACAAGGAGCTGAATTGAGAATATAAGTAAGCTCTACGAGTCCTATGCGATAAATTCGGAGTGATAAACTCACAAGCGCCTTGCGTATGTGCAAGCGTGCGCAACATTGTTCAAATAGGCTTCTTCAAGGCATATTAATTGCGCAAAATATGTTTCCTACGGGCACTCGTATAGTCCGACGACATTTTTAATGCGTTCGCTTGTATTGTTTGTAGCTTGAGAGGATTATATGTCGTGGAAGGTTGTATAGAGGTTCGGATGAAAGGACCAGGAAGTCGACGTACACTTGCTTTACGTAAGTATCAAGGTGAACTGTTTTAATTGAGTCATGAATTGTTCGTGATTTTTCAATCTTTGATGCGTGTGCTCGGAATAATGGAAAAGCGCTCGAATGCTTTTTTAACCGAATATGTCTCGATGTGGAAATTTGCGTTAGCGTGAATATGTAAACAGAAGAGTCAGTTATTGATTGGATCCTTTTTGCTAAATATCTACTCAATATTTGTCGATATTTATAACTACTTATAGTTATTCAATTATTTTTCAATTAATTTGTACTTTATGATATTGAAATACGTGTCGATTATTGTTTGAATCAGTTTTTAATGTTACGTTTAATAATGAAATTTCGTAAGAATTTCTTCTTAAAATTTTAATTATTTCACATTTTTGTTTTATACAGATCGTTTGAAATAACTTTGCGTCTGAAAGAAAAAAAAAGAAGAAAAAAAAAAAAAAATTATATTCTGAGTAAAATGGGATTTTTAAAAGAAGCACAATATTGTTCATAGTTTTTTCTAACTTTCTACCTTGAAGAACTTAAGCATACGTGTAATAGGGTTTTCTTGCTATTTTTATCTTGTAGTTGTTGAAAGCACAATAGAATAAAAAACATTGCCAAGAAAGTAAGTTGCAGTTTTCATTATTGATTAATTTATGCGGATTGATTTATTAACCATATTATACTATTATAATAAGTGTATTTATATGGGCAACCCATTTTTTAAAATAGAAAATTTATTATTATGTAATTATCTAAGTGAATATTTTTACTATATCAATACAATGTAATGGTTATTTAATTTACATTAGTAAATACTGAAAGGTAAAAATCGGAAAATTCTGAAAAAAAGAAAAATAA